TTCTATACAAGACCGGGGTACTCTAAACGGTAAAGCGAAGCCAAACAAATATTTATAATGGAGAATTTAGATCATTAAATAATCATAAATAAAAGTGAAAATGTATAAATCAATGTTAAAGGGAATTAGACAAATCACTCTGCCTATACATTTTCGTTTTTAGTATGTATAAGAGGTAAGATAGAGCTGGATAGTCTCCTTGACTACGTTCTTATTTGTAGGTAGGGTTTCGAGACTACTAGTAAATCAGATATGAGAAGTATTCACCATATTTCGTGTAACGTGATGAAAGATTGGTAGTTGAATTTTCCCACAATGATATGAGCGGAACTTACGTTTCCATTGAATTTAGCATAGCCTTCCTTTCCCAAAAGGTGGAGAAACTGCAGTCCACTCCAGCCTGAATGAGAATACCCTTTGGGAAAGCAAGGCTAGGCGAAATTCAATGGAAACGTAAGGTCAACTCATATTACTGTGGGAAAATTCGAATAACAATCCTTCACTATTTTAGATCAAATAGAGTGAATAGGCCTCATATATTCTTGCTTTAGTATTTGTTAGGTCAAAGAGATGAAGATCAAGATGGTGTGGCTTTATATTCGGCCACAACCCCCTTTAGCTTTATAGTGTCGGCTTGATCATGTTTTCTCAACTTGCTCAGAGCGCCAGGGAGGCCTTGTGGAGCGTACCTGGTCATGCGTCTTCTGGCAGTGTTCGTGACTTCCTGCATCAGACCATTGATTTGGTACATTACCAGACGTTTTGCCGGTATCGTAGTCGGCCTCATAAGTGAGAGGCGCCATCCATAGGACATAGTTACAACTTATTAAGGTGACAAGTTAAAGCAATCTCCTTGACCAATTTTTTTTCCAGCCATTGTGGCATCGCTCATCGCTTCTATTTTTGTCCCACTTTTTAGTGCTCTATCTCTTTCTCTCAACTCCACTTCACATCGCCCATTTACCTATTCACACCATCACGACTTTTCATTTCCTCCAATGTCGCCATAAAATACGTCGCTTCAAGTGGATTTAGGAAATCGTAACCATCGTCATACCGGTTTCAGACGTCGTTTCCGAGGCTTCTGACTGTATTCAGCCCCCCTTCCACCCTACTTGTTAATTAGTCGCCGCCACACATCAGAATCACTGTCTGGTTGTCTGAAATATGGTTGCCTACGAGTCTTTGGCGATGCCCATGCCAAAACATCTTCTTCATATTTAGGCCTCATCCATAACCCAGTTATCCTCTTATCATCCCGCTGGTGTGAAAATGCACCCCTTCCCTTTTTCCACTCATTTTCCACCACACACGCACACATACACAATCAAAACTAAATTCACACTGAAGACCATATGATCTCCACATTCTAATAAATTTGAACTGGAGCTAAATGGGAAATGTTTAGCCCAGCACCTCTAATGGAGCATAATCTGCCTGTTCCTGGCCCTTAATTTCCTATCCCACACCCCACAGGTGAATCAACATCGGTAATTTTTTTGGCTGATTCCAGGTTTGACTCCTCCCAATGTAATCGCGTTTTCCTGAATTCCCTCTCTTAGTGATGTAACTTCCTGTTGTTAAATAGTTGTCCTTGGTCCTTGCTATCCTCTCTCAATCTCCAAGTCTATCCAGACAGTACGCAAAATTATCGCTGAAAATTCTCTCTATCAGTCTCTCGTTCGTTAGCTTTCTTTGAAAGCGGATGAACGCTGCCTCCATGATCTTCCATTATCTGGTGTTCTCTTCACATGAAACCAATCTTTTCCCTTGCCCTCAAGTCAATTGTGTGGTTGGTAAAGGCAATGTGTTCAGCTATCTCCTATCTTTCTGTATCCATTTTCCTGCATAGTCGCTGGTGTTCTTCTATCTTTGTGCTGATTAGGGCCTGTAAGCAACAATCATTTCGAGCTCTGATGATGTCCATAATATGATGGACGAAAATCAGCCCGTTTTCGCCCGAAACGAGAGAGGATGTGCCGTAAACGTCGTATTAAAGACAAACGGCTGCAGTACCATTCTAATCAACCATCGTCCTCTGGTGATGCCGAATTTCGAATCTCTTCATCAGACATGCTTTCATACGAAATGAAACTCTCCCCAATTATTTAAGATTTATTGGTAATTTCAAAACCTGCTCCTTCTAACTATTCTTCTGTTCTACATTCTTAAAAACCTCGTGTATCATCAAAGGACTTTAAGCCATGGAAATCGGGCCAATTTGGGGTCCATGTGAGAAGCAGGAGACTAGTTTGTCAAAATGCCCCATGAGGCAGTGGGCTTACCTGAAACCCGTTCGACACGCTGGGTCGACAAGAGTGATTGAGCAGAGCTGCACACGGGAAGAGGCCAGAGGCAACCCTTACCTCGCCCAGCCGTCGTATGGGAGACGGAAGAATTGGGCCCAAAGGCTTCGCAACACAGGCTGAACCGGAAGTTCGCGAGCGACACTTCTTCGACCGACCAGCTGAGCCGCGACGAGCGGAGGCTCGGTCGAGGCGCTGTGCAGGAGAGACGAAGCGGATCTCGGTGAGAGCATGTGCGTTGCACTGGAGGCGACGCAGCATGCGAAAGGTCCACAGCCCGAGGATGACTTTACGCTCGGCAGAGCCTCCGGGGGTCTGCGCGCCGGGACCCTCGAGAAAAGAGATGCCGGTGGCAGGAAGAAGCTGGATGTCTATCGCTTTAGTGAGCATCAACTGTATGAACCATGCCGTAAGAGCATATTCCAGTAACTCGGCGGGCCGGAACTCGGTGAAATGGTCGACCAGCCGGTCGATCGAGGCGGGAGACGGACTGTCGCCTGGGGATTCAGGCGGCCCCTGGAGACCAAGAAGTCTGAGGCAGGCAAGCCGATAGCAGAGGTGACCCAATCCAATACAGTCGAGCAGGAAGATGAACCTGAACGAAACAGAGACACGTCAAGTGGCTACAACTAACTATTGTCCTCACATCCCTTTAAAGATATCATCACTACTCAATATGAATTTAAGTAGTGTAGTCAATTCTATTGGCAAATGAAAATTCGCTTCATAGAAAACCACATTATGCCATGTGAAATGGATGAGGACTGGATTTGATGAGATGTATTTCGTCTAAGGTAGTCTCGAAACCCTACTCGACTACGAATATAAGTAACGTTGTCGATTGCTATAGCAAACATACGTTTGCTTCATCGGCACTCCCACCAA